CATCGGCGTTAGGATATCCGGATAATGGTCATCATCCGTAAACGGCAAAAACTGACTTCCTCGCGATGAGTTTTGCCGCATGCTCGCCCGTTGTACAAGCCTCAAGCGCGTGCGCATCCCGACCGAGGACGACTTACTCGAAGCCGTGACATCGTCCGCGCACAGCGTGGCAGAGCTCTCCCCTCGCCCCTCCTCACGACAGGAAAACTTTCCGCCTCGCGCCATCGCGGCGTTGCAGCGCTGGCTTGCGTCTGGCCACGCGCGCCGCTTGAAACTTGCTGGATTCAGTGTCCCGATTGACGCTGGTTTGCCGCGGGCGCTCGCGACCTCACCGACACTCACAAGCCTGCGTTTGAGCGAATGCAACGTGGTCCTCGACTCGATCATCGCCCACGGCAGCGTGATGACGTCTATCACGGAGCTGGCTGTGACGACAAATTCGGGCAACCTAGTGTCACGTCTCCTACCGCTGCTCCCTTTGTCCAAGCTAAGATCGCTCTCGCTCCATTGCCTTGACCGCATTGACCTTGGCGACTGCCTCATCTCTGCACTGCCGCACTTGTCGGCGCTTGAGAACCTCGCCCTCGATTTTGTAAAACTCGGTGACGCCGACGTACAATTGAGCTCCGCCCCGTCGGCACTTCGCTTCCTCAAGTTGGACTACGTCGACATGACAGCATCGAGTCTCAACGCACTTCTCGACTGGGCCTCGCGCGCGGCGCGTCTCGAGTCTGTCGCTGCGCTGCGCTGCGGGTATTTCGGCGCCAACCACGACAGAGCGGTCGATACACTTACACGATGTGTCCAAGCCGGTGCACGCCGCGTACAATTCGTCAACTGCGACATCGACACGCGCGGCGCATCGGCGTTGGCCAAGGCGCTACGCAAGACGCACGCGCGCGTGCCTCTCGAGCTGGATCTTACCAACAACCCGTTTCGCCTCGGTGCTACGCAAGCGCTTTTAAAGGCGCTTGCGACGTGCACTGACGTGTCCGTTCAGCTACCACACGCATGCCGATCGTTCGTGGACGGAGATCAGTCGTACGTCGCGAAAGCAAAAGCCGCCGGCGTCACCATCGAGCTTCGCGGGTGGGACGTCTTCATCTGCAGCCGCACGGAGGTCTAATCTCAAGGTCATTTCTTCATCTCCAAAATTCATGCTTGTATCGTTGCTGCTATGTGTTGTGTTGGCGCCGTGTCCTCGGCAAGAGCTGTTCTTTCACAGTGTCAAGTCAAGAACAACGGCCGTTGGTTTTGCGCGCACTCATGACAACATCTCGGATATTTCATTTGCAGCGTGGATACCAAGAGCCTATCGAGAGCTCTACCCATCATTGATTCGCTCGTGTATTAGATCCAAGGCACTGTCCAGCTGCTTCTTCCGACTGTCTCGTGCCTCGTTGCGATGATGCCTATCATTAGTGCAGTGCTCGCGTTGAACGAGTCTGTTGGCCTCCAACGTGGCACCCTTTCCGGCTATCAATAGAATGATGGCGGGCCAATCCTACATCGTTCTCAATCTTCGACTGCCGTTGGCGGCGTTGCGATCCGATGTCCTGGCTTGCGCCAAAGTGCAGCAGAAGTCAAATCCTCCTTTGCATCCCGCATGGTCCCGCTCGCAGAGATCATCGTCTCGGCGTGTTTGATCGTGAGCATCTTCATCTTTGGCCTCGTTATCGACCTCGAGGCACAGCGCCGCATCCAGGACTTGCAACAAGCGCACCCAACGCATAACGCCAGCGCACAGGGTCTGCCTGCGTGGCCGAGCACGCTGCCGCAAGAAGCTTCATCTGCGTGCCTGTGGCAACAGCCCGCGAAACCCACCATGGACGGCGTCCGGAAGATTGAATTTCCCGGCAGTTTGTACTTTCGCAGCATTTGCGAAACGGGCTCGGACGCGCCGTCGCTGACGCTAAAGGCCAAGTCCATTAGCTGCCGCCTCTGGCAGCAACTCGAAGCGTACTTGGAAGAGCAGTTTGTGACCAAGATCCAGCCGATGCGAGGCCAGCCCCAGACTGCGTGCGTCCAGGCACCGGCGTATCCGACTGAATATATTTAACACACCTTGTCCTTACACCTCTTGAGGCACTGTGCAGTCTCTCCACGCATGGTCAAGCACGATCTTGCGATGGTTGCAGCGCAGGTACCGGTAACAGGTCCCGTGCGGGGTGAGCTGGTAGGAACTTTTGAATGCGAAGCGTTGTTTACCGGTATTTGCGACGACGGCGCGTTGGCCTAGACAAAAGTCAAAGCGCGACCTTCGCTGCGCTGCGGTGCGCAGACTTTTCCCGGGCCAACGCGCCGTCGTCGCTTGCTTCAGTTCTCGCGCGCTTTCATATTCGCACCTAATCGGAAAGTTGCGTAAATTTCAGTCAAGTGCGCCGTCGTACTTTATCGCAATTGTTAATCAAGTATAACGTCCAGCGATGTGACAGCACTTAATAGGAATTTCCATTTCGCCCTTAAAGGGACATAATTGGCGCGATATGATTGGCTTAGACCAATGAAACCGCGATTTATTTGTCAAAATGTCTTGATATATAGCCAATGGGTTGTCCGGATTGAGACACGACACGCTGAATTAATCCTCTGGATGCTGGTAAACGTTCCTACCAGCTGTGCTGGTTGTACCGGTAACGTTAGCTACATCCGTCACGCGCCCTCTGATTGGCCCGTTCCACGTTGCCAATAAATCTTTCGAATTTAATTTTTCCTCTGGTCATCCTCCGCGCCATCGTCATTTCGAAGGATGCTGCGACTTGGACAGCTCGCCGTGACTCTCTTGGCGCTCGTTTCGAGCGCGACGGCGTGGCACCGCCTCGAGCGCGCCCACGGAGCGGACACAATGGAGCTACGCATTCAACTGCAGGCCGAAGCGGACCTCGCAGCGCAGCTCGCGGCCGTCTCGGATGTTACGTCGGCTACGTACGGCCGGTACCTCTCGAACCTGGACACGGCGGCGCGGCCAAGTGACGCTGCTGCCGCCGCGATGCAAGCCTTACTCGGCAAGTACAACCCCGACGTGAGCCGCGCGGGCGACCTTTGGCGCGTGACGCTGCCGGTCGCGGACGTCGAAATGCTCTTTGACACCAAAGTGCACGCCTACAGCCTCGAAACGCATCGTATCTTGCGCGCTTCCAACGGCGTTGTGATGCCCGACAGCATTGCGGCGCATGTTGTTCTCATTGACGGCCTCGACCGCCTGCCTCGAACCAAAGCGCGTGCGTCGCGCCGGCGGCTGCAATACGGCGGTAACAATCCGCTTGCGAGCGTTGTTACGATCGAGACGCTCCAGGAACAGTACCGCTTGCCCAAGGATCTCGACAGCAGCTACGACGGCAATGGCATCGTCATTGGCACCTTCCTGGAAGAGACCTACATGGAGACAGACATCGCGTCGTACTTGGGCGGTAGATCACGATCATCGTTTGCAATGACTCATGATTTGCGTGTAGTGAACGGCCAAGCGCCGCTTTCTGTGATGCCCGCACAGCGCAATTGCATCGGGAATGGCACCGGCAAGACCGCGACAAGCGAAGCCTCGTTGGACGCGCAGCTCATCGCGGGGCTTACACGGAACAACGCTACGACTGTTCTCTGTTACAACGAGCTTCGCCTTCCTGACGAGCCCGCGTCAGACGCCAACCAAGAGGTACATTCGATGTCGATGCCGTGCGACAGGGCATTTATATACCTTGATGGGCTAGCCTTTTCTTCGCTTTATGCGCGACGTCAACGCCCTCGAGCCAGCACCGAGTGTTGTCTCCATCAGGCAATCCAGCTCTTGCGAAATGTCCAAACGAGTTCGCGCTCATTTGGTCATATAGCTATGCCGACGACGAGTGTGCTCTGCCGCTCTCCTATCGCAATGCCCTCGATCTCGAATTCATTAAGGCCGGACTTCGGGGCACAACCGTCGTTGTCGCGAGTGGCGACAATGGCGTTGTTGGCAGTCGATACCTCGAGGATTTCGGCCCCAAGCTCTGCGCCAAGTACCAGGTAGTACCCCGTTGCGTACCCCGGCATCATGCGACCATGCGTTCTCCAGCCTAGTTATCCGTCGTCGTCGCCGTACATTGTGTCAGTGGGCGCAACCGTCAACGTCGGCGGCAAGGAGACTGGCCTCTCGATCCGCAACGGAGGCGCCATCACGACCGGCGGTGGCTTTAGCGCCGACAGCCCGCGGCCCTCGTATCAGGTAGTCCCACCGCACTCTGTCGCTTCGCTGGTCTCATCGCCAATACGAAAAGGCCAGCGCCGTGGATGCTTACGTGGCGCGCCACACGCTCGACACGCCGCGCTTCAACGTGAGCGGTCGCGCATATCCTGACGGTGCGTCATCTCACTTGAGCATGGCGTTAAATGCATGATTGTCTTCTAGTTTCAGCACTGGGGCACAATATTGCGCTTTACATTGCTGGTTTTTACACATCCTGCGACGGCACGTCGGCGTCGGCGCCGATTGTTGCGGCCATTATCTCGCACCTGAACAAGCACCGATTGCGCCACGGCCACCCCAAGTTCGGTTTTATCAACCCGTACCTGTACAAGGTGCTGTCTTGGTGCATGGAGGCGACGATGGATGGTCATTTGCTCCCATTAGCTCTACGAGGTGTGTCCGTTCATCTTCAACGACATTGTGGCGGGCGAGAACGGATGCGGTGCACTCAACCAGCCGTGCTGCGACAACGGCTTTGCCGCGGGCTTTGGCTGGGACCCCATCGGAGGTGCGTCATCGTGCAATGAACGCGACGTCACGAGAACGTAGGCCTGGGGTCGATCAACTATCACGCCTTTGAGACTAACATGCGGGCGTGCGAGGCGCACATGAAGAAGTCGACTGCGACGCCGTAATGGAAAAGAGATGGAGACGACGAATGCGATAGAGTGCTTTAAACACTGCGAACGACCGATCCACGAGTTGCACCTCACTTTCTGTAAAACTGCCGCCATGACGTGGCACACGGACGTGCTTGCATGCGATGTACTCAATGGCCCGCAGGTATAGCGATAGACGGATGGACGGCAGCAGAGCGGAGTCTGGAGAGCTCTTTTGGAATGGAATGAAAAACGCGCGCGGTCGTGCAGCCGCCAAAGAGTGGGATGGGCCTTGCCGCGTCTCTGTCCTCATCTGAGCCCACAAGCGTCGAAGTCCAAAGCAGCTAGGTGTTATTAAGGCGCGGCTTGCGTGCATTCATGTACCTGGCAGTGCACGTGTCCAGCTGCAGCGTGTAGCTTTGGCGATTGCCCGCGAAAGGGAGCAGCACCACATGTGGAGCTGACATGGGTTCCAACTCCAACGCCAACGTGATAGGTGTCGCGTCAATGCAGCATCGCAGCCTCTCGGACGTCCGCCAAGCTGACCAGTAGCGCTGTGCCCCAGATCCAAGCGCTCCAAATAGTATGTGCTGCTTCTGCTGCTGCGAGCGATGAGCTGCGCTCGCGCATACGCGTCTGGTGGCAGCCGAATTTCGCTGGGCCAGCTGGTTGCCGCCAAAAAAAGTACACGACCTCTGGAAAGCGATCTTTCGACGGGGTCCAGGGATGCACTGATATAGTGTAACGAACCTCGACGATCGACAGGCCGAGCCATGCGCGCGGACGACACTGTCTCGTGGGAAGCTGCAGTGGCCACAGCAGCGAGCAGTGGCTTCATCACTGTTATGACTCCAATGCGATGTATTGTTGTTCGGGTGCATGGCGATTGTGGCATCGATGGTGCTGGCCCCAGCTAGGAAGACACACGTGTCGGTCCGCCTTCGACCAAACCAGCCCAGCGTGCAAGAAGGCCGCACTGCACCGTTGTAAGTAAAGGTCCGCACTGCATGTCCGTCAAGGGAATAACTATTCCTTGATGTCCGTGTAGCTCGCCCCAGACCTGTCGAGTTGCCTGTCGATGACTTCACCTAGCCCTTACAACGAGCATGCCAGCGAAGACGTCGAGATCTCTTACCGTATGTGCTACGAAGTGACTCCATGCCACGTGCTCGACCTCGATTGATTATATAGACCATGGTCATACACACGTACCGGTAGCTCGACGAGCACTCTCTTAGCTGACGCGTCAACTGCCAAGTCACACTATTTGGGTCCAACGGGTCGTATCAAGTATCGGAGGTTTCACAAAGCCTTGACCGGCTGCGCCTATTCTCGCATTTCCGCGCTCGTCCGTTCTGCTATCCTCATGCAGTTCGACATGACGATGCTCTTCCTCGGGCTCACGACGGTCCTCGTGTCCCTCTGCGTGATCCCGCCTCTGGCCAAGGTCACGATCGCCCCGCTCTTGGGCTCGGTCGTCGCCAAGGCCACGAAGGCGTACATCCACAGCTCCATCGAGCTCTTCTACAACCTCTGGACGGGCCTCATCTCGCTCGAGCGCATCGTGCTGCAAGCCTCGTTCCTCCACGATCTGCGCCTCTCGCTGCCATTCCCGATTGAGCTCAGCCATGTGTCGATTGACGCGCTCCATGTGCAGCTCCCGAGCTTCCTCGGTGGGTCGGGGCCCATGAGCTACAACATGTCGATCGAAATCGTCGGCGTCCGGTTGGCCGGTACGTTTGGTGTCAACTGCGAGCTCGACCGTGCTGCGTACCTCGAGCGGGTCGTTGCCAACAAGCTGGCGCTCGCAAACGGCATGACGCAGGCCGTGCAGACGTACCTCGCGCGGCTTGCGTCGCCCAACGAGGCGTCGCCGCCGTCGACGTTCAAGTCGCGGCTTCTCCACTCGATCGCTGAGACGATCAAGATCTCGATTCGCGACGTGTCGATCGAGCTCATTGGCGAGAAGGATGCGGCGCCGACGACGCCCTTGACGATCACGCTCACCGAGTTGTCGCTCACGAGCGCGCCGACGAACGAAGAGGTGCAGATCAACCACCGCACGGTCACGATGCGCAACTTTTACGTCTGCCTCGAGAACCAACGCGTGCTCGGCTTCCCGTCCCTTGTCGTGGACGTGACGATGCCGTACGTCTTTGAGGTTATGCTCTCGCCACTGCCGCTCGACACGAAGAAGCTCGGTCTCTCGATCTCGCTCGCAGACATGATGACGACGCTCTCGCCGCACTTGTATCTGACGCTCATCCGGTACTACATTCCGTACGTCAAGTATGGTCTCTTCCAAGAGTCGCTCAACCAGGCCGAGATGGCCGAGTGCATGCACCCGACCGCCGATGCCGAAGACGCGTACTGCCGCGCGTTCAAGTGGGACCTCGCAGCGCAGGCGCCGACACCACACGCGGCCGTGAATGATGTCGAGACGATGGCGACCTTGGACACGCTGCTCGCTCTGCGCGCCAAGGCGCTGCGCTGGACCGAGCATTTGGCGCAACACCACTTGACGCCGATGGAGCTTGTGACCAAGGTGCAAAGCGAGAACGCGCCGTTCCGCGACAAGCACATCGTCGTCGCACTCAACCGCTGGACCGTGCAGTTGCTGGACACGAAAGATCAAAAGCTGCCGGTCGCCGACAAGACGCCGGTGGGCGAGCCGACGCTCGCGGCCGAGTTTGCGATCGCTGGCGTCGACGTGGTCATGGAGCAGTGTGCCTCGGGCGCCATGGCCATGGACCTCCAGTACGCGATCCGCGACATCCAGCTGACAACCTTGACGCCGAGCATGGAGTGCCAGCGGTCGCAGCTGCTCTCGCACTCGTCCAACGAGAAGCTGCTGGACGGCCGATTGCGCCAGACGTTTGCCGGTGGCATGGACCTCGACGTGACGTTTGAGAAGCTCGCCGTGTTTGCCGCCAAGGAACCGCTGCAAGAGTTTCTCTTGTACGTCGACCGCCTCCAGCTGACGGCGCAAGCGTACATGGCCGAGCAGCTACCGGCGCCGACGCCGACGACCGCGACGCCGACGACGACGACGGTGCCGACCAATGACTCTTCACCGTCGTCACGACTCAACCTCTCGAACGTCGGGCCGTGCTCGCTCCTCAAGGGCGCAACAATGAACATTGCGGTCCGCGTCGCGGACGTGAGCGTCTTTTTGATCCCGCCGGCCGTCGAGTCGACGGGTGCGCTTCTGGAGCTCACCATGACGACCGAGCTCGCCGTGAAGAGCTCGCTCGACGCGGAATCGATGCAGCTCGTGCTTTCGGAGGCTGCACTGCTGCCGCGCTTGTACCAGGCGCCGACGGACACGAGCGGGTTCCCGACCATCTTTTCGCCGCAAGCGTCAACGCCGCAGTCGCTCTTGGCGCCGCTCCGCATTGCCAATGGGTACGAGCTGGCGCGGACGGCGTCCGGCGACTATGCCCAGACGCTCTCGGTCTCGGTCTCGGACGTGACGCTGTCGTTTTCGCAGCTCAACTTTGCCATGTTTTTGAGCAGCGTCACGAGTCTAAGCACGATCCAGACGACGACCGACGATCAGATGAAGAAGCGCCGGGTCGCGCAGGAAGTCGCGCAGGAGGCCGAGATGGCGCTGCAGATCAAGCAGCGCCTCGACGTGGCGCAGGCGCAGTTTGAGGAGATTGACGTGGACCACACCAAATCCATTGAATTGGACGAGCTCGAGCTGCTGCTGGCGCACGCGATCGTGGACCAGAAGCTGCTCACGCGCGAACTCCGCGAGCTCACGGCGACGGTCTTCAACACGATCGACAAGGACGGCAGCGGCACGATCGACTTTGACGAGTTCCGGCACTACCTCATGGAGACGATGAACGTCGAGCATTTGCGCGGCTACGTCGACCTCTACGCGTGCGAGTACGACGCGCTCAACGTGCTCGAAACCCTCTTTGGCCCGTTCTCCAAGTCGACGCCGACCGACTGGTTTTCTTTTTGACGTCCCGCGCCGCGTCCGACCCGCTCGATGCGTTTTGGAGTTTGTACCAAGCGGAAATGGGCGCGACACGGACGTCGCGGGCAGGCCAGTCGCCCACTCTCCTGCAGCGCAAGCTCGTGCGTCTCTTGCAGCACCACGAGGCCGCGCACGCCGTCTGGGATGCGCTCGTCGTTCCGAATTTGGCGACCTCGGACGAGAACCGCGAGATTGACTTGACGTGGACGATCAACGACGACACGGCATGTGGCGGCATTGTCGAGTTTGAGTCGGCGGCCAAGATGATTTTGAACCAAGGCGCCGAGCCGACGGTCGAGGTGCTCGAGACCAAGCCGGCGCCGAGTATGGCCGGTGTCTCGCTGCAAGTGCGCAGTGACATCAAGCTGGGCGCGTTTCACGTTGTGCTCCTCGATGACAAGCTGCCGTCGACGGCGTGCCGCGCGGACCTTGTCGTCGACCACTTGACGTGTTCGGTCGCGCTCTCGGCTGCGATTGGCCCGAATGTCTATGACGTCAACGCGCAAGCCTCGGAGTGGGCCATGACGCTCGGTCTCCAGGTCGCGGCGTCGTGCTACAGCGACCTTTCGGGGCAAATGGAGCACAGTATCGAGCCGTGGGTGTGTCTGGTCGGTGTCAACAGCGCGGCAGGCGTCGAGGGCGTCCGAGTCTGGCTCGAGGCCGAGAAGCGCTTCCAGATCAACGTGTCGTCGTCGCTCCTCGAGGTGCTGGCGATCTTGCCGGAGATCATGTCGGGCGAGCACGTCATCGAGCCGGACGCGCCCAAGGTCGTGTACCGGCCGGACGAGCCGCCGTTCCACGTGACCAACTTGACGGGCGTGCCGCTCATCTTTGGCACGGGCGACGATCAAGTTGTCTTGGAGCCGCGCTCGGTGCAGGCTCTGAGTGGCGTCAATGCCGCCAACTGCCGCGTCGAAATCCCGTCCTGGGGCGCGCTCACGGACGTGGCGCTGCCTGTGTTTGGTCCCAAGGAGCTCGTCGTCAAGGACAGCGCGGGCGGTCATTTTATCACGCTCAACGCGATCTGCCGCCTCGAAGACCCGAAAGACGCCAGCGTCGTCTTCAAGTCGAACATTGTCATCTCAAACAAGAGCTCGCTCGACATGGAGATGCAGAGTCTCGTGCACCTCGCGGGCTTCACGTCGCTCAACGACAAGGTGACGACTCTCGAGAGCGCCAAGTCGCTTTCGCTGCCCATCTCGGTCTTCATGGGCGACACGGAAGTGTATTTGCGCAGCGCCAAGAGCAAGAGCTGGCACGTCAACGTCAAGCTCACGAACGACATGCTTCTCGACGCCCAAAAGCCCGAGCTCAATAAGACCGAGTCGAGCATGAACTCGTTTGTGCGAAAAGGCACGATCGTGCCGCTGCACCAAAAGCACAAGGCGTCCAAGCTCGTCAAGCAGCTCACGCCCAGCATCCTCCTCTACCGCCACGTGCTCACGGACAACACGGTGCAGTGGGAGCTCTGCGTGCTACCGTCGTTTGTGATTCACAACGCGCTGCCGTACACGATCGAGTATCGGTTTTTGGAGTACCGGGCGACGCCCGGCGCCGGGCGTATGGACATGAACGGGATTCAAAAGCTCCTCGAAGCGAGCTCGACCCACGGCGAGGTGGCGTCTGGCGCGACGGGCGAAGTCGAAGGGCTCTCATCGCAGACACCAGGGTACATGTCGTTCCGGCTCCGCAACGGCGCGGCGACGTCGGCGTGGTCCAAGCCGCTGCTCATGGCGATCCACGCCACCGTCGACCTCTTCACGACGGCGCCTGAAAAGTACGAGCTCGAGCCGAATCTGAGCGTGAGCTTTGAGCGCGCGACGATGCCGGGGCAGCCGCGCGTGGTCAAGTTTTCCGTGCCGTTTTGGATCGTCAACAAGACGGGGCTGGACCTCTCGTACAAGCTGCCGGACGCGGACGCGGCGTCGGGCGCGATGGACGAAGTGACCGTCCATCCGGATTTTGCCTCGCCGATCATGGTGCACGCGCCCAAGGCCCGCATGAGCTTCCGGGCCAACGCACCGTCGACGTTGACGCCGGCGTCATGGACACCGCTAGTGACGGACGACGTGGCGCCGCCGATGTTTTGCCAGCTGAGTGCGGCGGCGGCGTGGTCGGAGCCCATGAACGCGTCGGCCGTGCAGACGAGCGGTGAAGTGTACAGCGGCGGGCACGTGCTGGGTGTCGACATTACGGGGCTCGAAGGGCTTTTCGCCGACTCGATTGCGATCGCGCTGAGCCCGCGCTACGTGGTGCAGAACCACACGCCGTACGACATTCAAGTGCGCGCGTTTGCGACGCCGGCGACCGACCATCTGAACGCGCTCGCAGCGGTCTCGAGCTGCCCGACGTACGACCTCGCGTCGCATTCGAACGGCGTCTTGTATGCGTTTGAGCCGCTCTCGAAGGACCCGCTTGTCAAGTGCCAAAAGTACTTTAGCATGGCGCTCGCCGGCTCGACGGTCTGGTCGTCGATCCTCGCGGTGAACGCGGTCGGCGACGTATACTTTCCCCTCGAGTGCACGATCCGCAAGCGCGGGTTTATCGTGAAAGCGAGCATCCAGCTGCTCGGCACCCACCTCTTTGTCGTGCTCAATGACGCGTCGTCGTACCCGCCGTACGGGTTGAGAACTACACGATGCACCCGGTGACCTTGCGCCAAAGCAGCAACCTCGCCAAGCAGACGACCGAGCTCGCGCGCGCCGAGCGCCTCGCGTTTGCGTGGGACCAGGCGTACGTGGCCGACCACAAGTTGGACGTGACGATTCAAGGCCAAAAGTTTTCCGTGGATATCGACTCGGTCGGACCCGTCAAGACGTCGGACCTCTCGCTGCTCAAGCTCATGGACGGCCCCACGAAGTTTGTGCTCGAGGTTGTGCCCGTCGGCAGCGCGCGCGTGCTGCGCATCGTCGACGCCAGATCCAAGCACCTCGACAAGCTCCGCTCTGCCAAGACAAGCTTGGAAGGCCAGGCGCGCGCGGTGGCGGCGTCCTTGTACACGACGGCGCTGGACCTGCGCCTTGCCGGGTTTGGTGTCAGCTTTATGGACGCGTTGCCGCAGGAAGTGCTCTACCTCTCGATGGACGACGTGCGTGTGCAGAGCGCACCGCAGTCGCTCGAGTGGGACATTTCCATCTTTCACCTCCAAGTCGACAATATGCTCGCGAACGCCAAGTTCCCGGTCATCCTCGCGCCCGTCGACAGCGGCTACAACAGCGGCTCGGTGGCGCCCGTGCCGTTTTTCAAGCTCGTGCTCGAGACGCTCGGCGACAATGCGAGTCTCTTCAAGGTCATGGACGTGGCCGTGCAGCCGGCCTACATTCGGGTGGACATTGACTACCTCTTCAAGCTGCTCGGGCTGCTCGAACCGCTCTTGGCGTCCGAGACGGCGCTCCAGTCCCAGCTGGAGCTCGCGCTGGAGCTCTACAGCAAGCCGATGCCGTGCCCGGCGCCGATCCGCAACTCGCAGCTCTTGTACTTTGAGGCGTTTTCGGTGCGCGAGACGCAGTTCAAGCTCGAGTGCCTCATCCAAAAGGAAGACATTGCGCGCTCCAAGGCCATGGCGCACTCGCGCTCGTGGCTCGTCAACGCGCTCATGCAGCTCATTGGTATTGTCGGCTCGAAGCTCAGCGGCTCGCCGTCGTTTAGCTTTAGCGCGATCACAAAGCGCCACTGCTTTACGACAAAGGACCGCCTCGTGTCGCAGCTCGTGCAAACGTACTCGCGTGACGTGGTCATGCAAGCGTACAAGCTCGTGGGCTCGATCGACATGCTTGGCAACCCCGTCGGCTTGGTGGAAGACCTCGGGTCGGGCCTCAAGGCCTTTCTCAAGGTCACGACCAACGAAGTCTTGGGCGACTCGCAAACGCGCGGCGAAGGCGTCAAGATCCTCGGCAAGACAGTCGCCAAGACGGGCACGGGCGCGCTCGCCAAGTTTACCGGCAGCCTCGACAAGCTCATGGACGAGGTCTCGGACGTGGCCGACACACCCCACGACAAGGACGAGCGCGATGCCAACGAGTCGACGTCAGTGGTCGACGGCGGGCTCAAATTTGCGAAAAACCTCGGCCTCGGCTTGACGGGCATTATCACCAAGCCGGTCGAAGGCGCGATGACGGGCGGTGTCACGGGCTTCATGCAAGGCGCGGTGCAGGGCCTCGCGGGTGCGCCCGTCGTCTTGCTCAAGACGGTCACGTCGACGGCGCACACACTGGCGACGGAAGCCTCCGAGACGCTCGAGGATGTGGTGCCGTTCCAAGGTCGCCGCCGCAAGGAGCGCCAGTTTGTCGACAAGGTGCTCGTTGTTCCCTCGAAGCAGCAGCCCTCGATGCTACACGTGGAGATTCTCAGTGCGAGCGGCCTCGTCGCGTCCTCGGGGCAGTGCAACCCGATCTGCTACGTGCTTTTGAACGACAAGGTGGTGTTTCAGACCAAGTGCCTCTTTGGCACGGCCAACCCCGAGTGGCGCGCGGCCAAGAACATTGAGCTCAAGTCGGACGCGAATACGAACGTGACGTTCAAGGTCCGCGACTCATTCACGGGCTTTGAGAGCATAATTGGGCAGGTTCGTATGCCGCTCAACCAGCTCCAGCTCGACTTTGACCAAGAGACGGGCAGCTCGCCGCTGAGCAAGTGGGTCAACTCTGGTGTGGCCGACCTCGGCGCCATGTCGGTCGACCTGCCGCGCATTGAAAAAGAGTACATGCTATGGGGCAAGCCCAAGAAGACGCGCGACGGCAAGCCACCGTCGCTCCAAGTGCTCGTGACGGTCCTCGACCTTGTCAACTATGTCCCGCCCAAGACGATGTTTGGCTCGACGCCCAACCTCGCGCCGTACATTGGCGTCGAGCTCGGCGGCAAGAGCCAGAAGACGACGGCGCTCAAGGCGGCCTCGGCCACGATGAGCTGGAAGGAGACGCTGACGTTTGACTGGAAGGCGCCCGAGAAGCACAAGCAGATTTCGTTTACGCTCTTTGACAAGAGCATGCTCGTGGACGAGACCCTCGGCAACGTGCTGCTTCCGCTGCGCCTCTCCGAGCCGCGCGTCGATACGCTCTTGGACATTCGCGTCAACGGCGTCGTGAACGGCCAGCTGCACGTCAAGACGGAGATCCTCGGCTTGCCGGACGACGACGACGCCGAGCCGAGCCCAATTGAAGGCGGCGCGACGAGCAAGACGGCCGGGAAGCTCAAGCTCCACGTGGTCTTTTCGTAAACATGTTCTAGTTCATTTTCATACCGTGTTGATCGATTTCCGTGACTCATTGCCCTGGACCACGCCGACGTACGGTCGCTACGCTTCATGGTCATGCAATCAATACACGGATGCTTGGTCTGTGTTCCATGTGCACCGAATTTTCGAGGTTGAATTTGGCGCCAAAAAGGCAAGTTGCCTTCAACATAGTATGGATTTCCTCGTTTGTCGGATTTTATCGGACAACCGACGGTCAACGTCGTCTGCTTTCTCGCAATGCCTCTGCGTGCGAAAGGGAGACCGCGTCGCACATGGCCCTTGGAAACTCGAACGTTCCCACCGTCTTTGTCGCCTGCCCGGACTTCTGTCCACGATAAAGCTTATGACTCGACCGACATACATACCTTAGTTACCGTAAGTGAATTATTGAGCCTTCCTCTTTGTGGACTCACGGCAGAGACCTCTCACTCTCGCGCCAGTCCGACCCTCTTGGACTCCAAGCAGACAATTGAAAGCGTGCTCAACGTCATCTTGGATCCAGCGCGCAACCCTGTGGCCAGCAAGAGCCGCCACGGGATCGAGAAGGAAGAACGAACGTCTATCACCTTGCTGGAATCCGCCTGCGTGCGTCCAGCGAACGATGGTATTCTACACGGTATTTCCTCCAAGGAGCAAATGAAAAATGCCAACAAAATGCGTCATAAGCGCTGGGAATCGATTATGGTACGTAGACCCTTGCGGAGGTTGGAATTCCAGCGCACCACGTGGGCAGCGCGATTCGCGCGGCCATCCGTTGCTGCCCTGCGACAGTAGCCATCATCTTTTACACTTGGTGTTTGTAAGGATGTCCCCCCGCCGATGCACCAAGTGCCACCTATAGAGCGACAGTGAAAGTGGCGTCACCTGGCGCCAAAAATTGTAGCATAATGAACCCAAGTGCACCGTCGCGGATCACGCGGATCCGGATGGGCCCAGCACAAGCCGGATCTTAGTTTTGCATTTGCGCACAGCCAGCACAAGCCCAAGCTCACACATGTGGTGGCGTCTCTTCCTCGTTCTCGGCGCGGCCATGGCCGAGGTGCAGGACGCGCCGACCAAGTCGGGCGTCAAGACGTGGGTCGACGTCGAGACCCCCGAGTGGGCCATGACCAAGATGACGTCGCGCGGCCACGAGTACGACCTTGTCATGTCGGACGAATTCAACAACGAGAACCGCAACTTTACCGCCGGCATGGACCACCTCTGGACCGCGCTCAACCTGCCGGACGGCGTCAACAGCGCGATAGGGTACTATAGCCCCCGCAACACGTACACGTCCAACGGCAAGTTTCTCATCCGCGTCGACGAAGGCACCGTGCCCATCCAATATTGGGACCAATACTCGGCCACGCCCGGCTGGGTCAACAAGAACATGGTGCGACGACTCTATCCGCCTTCAAGCTTGTACCTCACACTTTTTCTAGTATTACACGGGCGCGATGGTCCAGACATGGAACAAGTTTTGCCTCCAAGGCGGCCTCATCGAGGTGCGCCTCCAGCTGCCAGGCGCGCTGGACGCGGCGTCCGGCAACCCCAAGTACCCGCCGTACCAGCGCCTCGTCGAGAGCGACCGCGGGTTCTACCCGACGTGGCCCGGTATCTGGCTCATGGGCAACCTCGGGCGCGCGCTCTTTAGCGCCTCGACGCGGCGCATGTGGCCGTGGACGTACAACGAGTGCGATCCACGCTACAAGGACATGCAGCGCATCTCGGCGTGCAATGCGACGCCGGGCCACGGCCTCAACCCGTTCCAGGGCCGCGGGTCGCCCGAGATTGACATCCTCGAGGGCGGCGGCAACGAAATCTCGTCGTCGATCCAGATTGGCCCTGGCATGCCGTTTGACTACCGTCTCTACAACGCCGACGACGGCGGCTGCTTTTACGACAAAAAGTGCAAGTACACGGGCGCCAACATGGCCAACGTGCCGTCCGCCGCCTTCAAGCGCCAGCACTGGTACCAAGGGCTTCGGTACGCGGCCAACAACAAGTGCGCGCCCAACGCCTCGTATGGCCAGCAGTTTAACTCGGTGTACCAGTCGGTGATGGCCAAGAAGATCACGACCAACACGTGCTTTTCGTCCCCCGGCGACCAGCAGGTGATTCCTGCGTCCTGCGACGTCAACGGCGACCTCGGGCTCATCGACGGCGTCGGCCCGACTCACTGGGGCGTGAACGAGAAGAGCACGTGCTTTGCACAGGCGAATGGCTACAAGGGCGTCTACCTCTGCGACCCGGACAACCAGTACTACCGCTGCGAGTTCGCACGCCCGGACGGCCGCGCCAAGACTAACCAGATGACCCCGTTCAACTATCAAATGGACGCGCTCTCAGCCAATTGGTTTACGACCCAAGAGGCGTACCGCGGCTACATGAACTACTCGCTCGAGTGGTACGACAATATTCTCCATCCTCCGACCTCATTAGTCTGTGCTAACCTTACTATTGTAGGGTGCTCGGACCCAACGGCCACATTCGGTGGGCGCTCGACGACCAAGTGCTTTTCGAGATCCCGTCGCAGTCGATCCTCAACGTGCCGCAGGGCGGGAACGAGACCAACCCAATCAAGCTCCCGATCGAAGAGCCTATGTACCTCATCTTCAACGTGGCAACGGCACCGGCGTGGGGGACCATGCCTCCGAACGCCGGGTACGGGCCGTGCCGCGGCAACCAAACGGACCCGGGCTGGCTCTGGAAAAACAAAACCAACCGCGCGACGGTCGTGGCCGAGACCAAGATCTGCGACTCGTTTCCGATGTATCTAAGCGTTGACTACATTCGCGTGTGGCAAGACCTCCGCGGCAACGAAGAGAATGCGAGCCACATTGGCTGCGACCCCGCGAGCCACCCGACGAGCCAATGGATCCTCGACAATATCGGCGAGTACTCGGACGCCAACAACTCGGTCATCGACGTGGCCGGTGGCGCGACCTGCAACTCGGACGACGACTGCACGCGTGCGTCCATGATGACGGGCATCTGCGTCAAGAACCGGTGCCAGTGCACGACGCTCTGGGGCGGTCCTCGGTGCACGTGGGTCGTCGACATCGAGCCCAACTGGGCGTACCGGGCGCAGGCCTCGGCCAAGGGCTTTGGCCCGACCGTGCCGATCACCGTCTCGCTCCTCGCGCTCGTGCTCGTTTCGATCGCGTTCATCCAGTACCGCCAGTCCAAGGGCCACTTTATGTTTTTCGGCAAGGTCCGCGGTCCGCCGACGCCCGTGACGCGCGCGTCGTCGGTCGCCAACGACGACGTCATGGCGACCGAGGACCGGGCCCGCGCCTTGCTCAACCAGAGCTCGCTCGAGAATGCGTCCTTTATGGACAGCCACGGCCACGTCTTCGACAGCAACCACGGCATGGACATTGGCCACACGCGCTACGAGCTCGAGACGACGCCGAGCGAGGGCCACCACGTGCGCTTCACCGACAAGGCGTTTGCGATCGATGCGAACGGCCGCAAGACGGCGCCCAGTACCTTGATGTAGAGACGCCGGAGTAGAGATCATAAATCACACAAATGAATAGGATGGAATAGAAGATGACGTGTTGTAGCGATGCTTAGCCCAAGGCGCTAAAGCGCTGGTAGACGTTGGCAGCAGCATTGTCCGAGAGATCCATCTTGACCTGGACGCAAAACACCGACGCCTTGGACGTCGCGTCTTCGCTCGTGAGGTTGATCTCGTAGTTGCCTTCCGGCGCAATCACGGGCAAGTTGAGCGAGAGCTTAATGTCCTTGAACGAGCCTTCCTTGACCGGGCAGGCAAAGCCGTCCACGTCAATGTGGCCGATACCGAGCGGCAGCGGAATGTGCGTGTGGCCGCACATGTTGCCGAAGTGCGAGTAGAGCAATTGGCCGCCGAGCTTGACCGCGATCGTCATGTGCGCAGAGTCGAACGCTTGCTTGACCTTGCCGTTGCCCACAAAGTGGATCGGCTTGCCGCGCTTGGGCACCTTGGGCGAGACGCTGAGGTCGCTAAAGGTCGCGAGCTGCGACGTCACGTCGCCGCACTGCACAATCGTGACGCCCGAGCTCTTCTCGAGGAGCCACGCGTCCGCAGCGGGCGCGTGGTAGGCGGCTGGCACCGCCACGTCGTCGCTCGAGTCGTCGTCCTCGTGGTTGTCGGCGCCAATGATCGACGCCGTCGGGTAGCTCGGCACCATCGCAACGCCGCACTGGCCCGTCTCGGGGCCAAACTCACGGGCGAGCTTGATGTAGCCCTTGTCGCCCCAGTCGGCGCCCCACGAGTTCTTGACCTTCCAGTACTTCTTGCCGCCCTCTTCGCCGTATCCAACGACCAAGACACCATGGTCGAGCTTCGTGCCGCAGCTCTTGTCAAAGACGCCCGACTTGTAGAACTGAAACTCGGGCTGGTCGGCTTCAATGGCGACCGAAACAGGCTGCTTGGCGACCGCGGCCTTGAGCGCCTGCTCGTCGTTGGCCGGCACATCATGGAAGGCCGTGACCTTGGTGACCGGCTTGCACTTCTTAAGCGCGCACGTGCCTTCCTTGGCGTGGTACGGGTAGTCTTCTTCCTTGCAGAGACCTTTGTGCGTCTTGACCCACTTGAAGGCGTTGTCCATCAAGCCACCGTTGCAGCCCATGTCGCCATTGTGGTCGCAGTCGACCAGCTCCTGCTCCGAGACCGACACGAGCTGCTTGCTCGAGACAAAGGCCGCGCCTTCAATCGCGCCCGTGGTCGAAAACGCCCAGCACGAGCCGCACATGCCCTGGTTCTTCACGGGCGTCACGCCGCCCTGCTCGACCCAGTCCATCTCGTTGGGCACGTCCGTCATGTTGACGGCCGGCGCCATGAGCGCGTACTTGGCGCGGCTCTGGATGTACGACGGCGACACGCGGAGGCCCGTGCGCAGCTTCTTAAACTCGTCAAAGGTCAAGTGCGAGTACTCGTTGTGGCCCATCGTGAAGCTCGAGCTCGCGTCCTTGTTGTGGGCCTCGATGCGCTGGTCGTTGAGGATGAAGACCTCGAAGCGGTGGACCCACTCGAGCGGGTTGAGCTTGACCGCAAACTTCTTCATCCAGCTCAAGAACTTGGCCTCGTACGAGGCGTTGGCGCCATGCGCAGAGAGGAGGGCGGCGGTCAGCGCCATGGCCAGAGCGTTGCACTTCATCTTGCGCGTCCTTCGGCGTCAATCTGCAAATGAAAAGGAACGAAGATCTTCCACGCCCAAACTCAGAGTCCGAATTTCATTTTTTTATGGCATGTTGAAAAACGGATCTCGCGCACCTGCGCCGACACCCATGATCTGGCTCGACCCACCTTGGAAGAACGACTTTGACGGCCGTGGGCCCACCTCCTCCTACTGTCCTTGCATGGTATGCTACGATACACGCTGTGTTCTATATCGCGGCGGGGCTCAGCGTGAAAGAAGACGGCTGGGCTGTTGCTGATGCCGGAAGGAGAAATGAGACCACGCAACGTTGAAGTAGCCGTGCCACTTTCCCTGCAATCCGCGTCTGCATACCGTACCGTTGAGGACCGTTGGGCTGTTGGGCTGCTTGGCGGCGGTGACCTTGGAAACAAGCAGGATCAAAAGCCACATCAATGTCCTTTTTATTGGTTTCGAGTCTGCTGGAGGGCATACATACTACTAGTGCAGCGTAGAGGGTGAGGGAAATGGACCGCGGGACCACTGTGCAGGAACGGCCGAGAGAAGCCGCTTGCCACGATCTTTTACGAGCGACGGGGGCCCTTCCATTTTTTAATTATATTTTGCGTGTTCTCGGTCCGAAAGTCCTGATTTCAAACCCTATGGTCCTGGTTTCCACGCACCCGCGTTGGTGACCGCTTGTTCTTGGACGCGCATCGGATTGGCCAAAAGTGGACCAATCGCAGCGCAACTTGAAGTTGCGTGAGAACGAGAAGATCTTGGTAAGCGACAAGGTCGACGCGGTATATGAAGGTGCGTCCAGCGCCCGCCATACACAGCGAAGCAGTCGCTGCTTTAGCGAGTGACACGTCGCCATCGAGGTCGACGCCACATCGCCAACATGGCTAGGAAGCCATCGAGTGGCTTCGATGCTATTCTCTGCAGGTACCGGCTTGTACCTACGCCAGCATGCAAGTGGTGTTCTCGAGGCGCATCATCCAATAAGCGCTGGCTGCGGGCGAAGGAGCGAGCTACGTCGACGGAGCCTCCGGCGCCACGAGCCGATGCCAGCTGGCTCCATCGGAGGCGAGAGTGGTGCGCCCGCACGAGCTCGATACTCTCAACAAAGAACGAGATTTTGCGGTTGCTTTTTGGATTTTGCGGCTTAGAAACAGGATGCAAGTACGGCAGCAACCTGGTGCTGCATCTCCGTAGAGCGCCTTTTGAAGCGAGAGCCCATGAGCGTTGGTGGTAAGCAATGTCGTGCTTGAGCTAAACACCCTTGAGAAAGATGCACCCGAGCCATAGCGTTGTCAAGCGGTCAATGATGTGCACTTGCAGGCTTGGGATACGTGGCAGCACGAAAGGCCAACAAGAGCAAGGTAGGGATCCCAGCGTCGAGTTTCCGTCCAAATGCCATTTCGCTCCAGTCATATTAGCCCAGGGAATCTATTCGTTTGCCTTGTGTGCAAGGCCATACCCCAAGAGCTCGGCCCACGTGTTCTCATGGCTCGCTCATGGCTAGACTGGCTAGACTTTGTCTGCTGTCCTGCAGTTGTGTTGTATTCGGCACATGTGCCGAATATAAACCCTATGGTGTCGGCATCTGCCGAATCCATACCCAACACAACGATGGCAGCATCGACCAAGGACGTCGACCGGAAGATGACCGACCACGACTACCTCATCATGGAGCGGGAGCTCTATGAAGATAGCATACGTGCGCTGGAGGTTCGGCTCGCCCAGCTGGAAGATGGCACGCTGCCAGAGTACGTCGAGCAGGTGCAGGCGTTTGCGGCCGAGAAGCAGTCGCGCCTCGACCTCGCACGGCTCCGGCGCGATCTCCTCGAAAAGAACAGCGCCGAGCTACTCGCGTTCGACCTGCAGCAGCTGAACGAGGTGTACGCCCAGGCCATGGAGCGCGCGCTGCGCACGCCGCCGCCATCGCACGTCGACCTGGACACTTCTGCCATCGACAACACGGCGCAGCCTCTGCCCATGGGAAAGACTATGTCAGATAGAGAGCTCGCAGCGGCCTTGAATCGTACGCTCGACGAGAAGCGCCGACTCTTCAACCTTGAGCACATTGCCGCGGTCCAGCCGAGCACGTCCACGATCGTCGCCCAGCTCCAAGCCACGCGCGATGCTTGGCAGGCCGCGCTCGTCGCAATGGACGCATCTTCGCGTAGTGCGTTCTATGTGTTCCATGTTGTCTCATGCTAGCGTAGCCGCCGAGTGCTTCTGGGATGCGACGCACAAGACGTTGCACATCTGCGCGCAGCCATATCGCGTTGGCGATGCCATCGTGCTCCACTCAGCGCTGGCCGACGTACGAGATGCGACGAGAATCATCTCTACGAGTCTCATGCGATGCGACTAGGAAGCATTTTACGGTGAGATTGCGTCCGTGAGTGAGACCGCGGTACTCGATGAACCTCCATCTCGAGCCGATGACGTCAGTGGACGTAGGTCGAGCTCAAGCTGCTGTGTGACTCGGTCGTCACTGTACCACTGGCATCTCTACGAGACCGTCGGTGTCGGCTTCAGCGGCAAGACATGTACGAGCGATCGACCGACGCACCGTTCTCGCCAATGCCGACCACACCCCTTCGCCGCGCCTCGACGCCGCGCTCGCGCCGCAAGTCCCGATCTCGACGCGTTCTCTCGCTGCTGTAAAAGGTCCCATGGACACTCTGTACATCGTATAACTATGCACCAAATGGAATGATGACCAATGCACACAATCAACGCTGTGGCTTTCGACGAGGACCCACCACGCTGCTTCAACGACTTGATGATGGAACAAGTTGAAAACGTGTTCAAAAATGTCCTCTCATACAGCTCCTCTTTGATGGTCCAAAGCCTGGTGCAGCTACCCGGGCAGAGACGAGAACCGATGTGCAGAGCATTCTCGCATGTCGCCGTCGAGCGTGCTATGCCGAGGCCCTGATCCTGTTCTGCCCATCAGGGTATCCCAACGACAACCTCTCGCAGGTCGTAGTTGTGGTGCCAACTCGGCCATCGACCTCATGCTAAACGTGGCGTTTAGTGAGGTCGCACAAAACATCGGACCGACATGGCAAGTGAGGTGGTTTCGCTTGTCATTCCAAACGTTCCTGGCGTCTTCTTGATCTGCAGTGCTGTCGCAGCATAACCGACCACGGCAGTGTGCATTTTGGCCTCTTCACGCCTTGGCGCAATGCACTCGATCTCGTACGTCTCGGAAACGCAGCTCGTGACGAGCATGAGCGAGGTCGACGACTTTGCTCGCGCCAAGAAGCCGGCCCCGCGCCGCTGGCGGTCCAAGCGCATCCTCGGCCTTCTCGGCGCGCTCGTCCTTGTCGCCATCGCTGTTGGCGTCGTCACGACGTTGTCTTCCGACGCGACGACGGCCACTGCGCTCCGTTCAGGCGCGACGACCTATGGCATGGCCATTGGCTACGACACGTACCAAGCCGATAAGATCGACGCGCATTTCGCAAAGATCGCGACGCGCTTCTCGGCCGTCCGGTCGTTCCAGACATGGCTGCCCAAGAACGACAACGTCATTGACGCCGCCGCGCGCCACAACCTCTTCGTCTACGCAGGCATCTGGCTGCGCCAAGGAGGCGACTTCGCCCGCGACGTCCAAGCCGCGATCGACGGTGCGCGGCGACACCCGAGCACGGTCAAGGCTATCTTTGTCGGCAACGAAGAGCTCTCCAACGGCTGGGGCCCCGACCAGCTCATTCGCAGTATCCACGATGTGCGCGCCAGGTTCATCGCCGCGGGGCTCGGACATATTCCAATTGGGACCGTGCAGATCGACGGCGACCTCCTAACCCACCCGCGGGTGGCCGACGTCTGCGACGTGGTCGGTGCCAACATGCACGCCTTCTTCTCGAGTGCGCCGTACTCGAATACGGATCCGATGCGCGACACCAGAGCCCGCTGGGAGGCGATTGTCGCCAAGTTTGGCAGCAAGGCCGTCATCACCGAGGTCGGATGGCCCTTTGCGGGCGGCAGCTATGGCTCGCACGTCGCGTCGTACGACATGGCCGTCTCCTACTTTAACGCGTTCCGCGACTGGGTGCGCCAAGGCAACGGCGGGCCGCTGCCGGCGTACTTTATGTTCCACGACAACCCGTCCAAAGGTGGGTTTGAAGCCCACTTTGGCCTGGCCGATGGGAATGCCAACTGGAAGTTGGAGTTGAATGCACCCTCGACCGCACCCGTCCCGATGAGTCCGACCGACCCTCAGTTTTTGCTGCAAACGGCGACGGGCTCGGTGATCTACGAGATGTACAAGCGCCTCTTTGCCTACGCCGAGTCGCCGTGCGCGAACGAGCGCTGGCGCTACAACCGCGCGACGAACCAGATCGTCTCGATCTCGAGCGGGCAGTGTCTCGACGCGTACCTTGCGAACGCCCGCTTCTACGTGCACGTTTGGCCCTGCGACGCGTCGAATCGAAACCAACTGTGGACAATTGATGCAACGAGCAACATCGTCAAGCACCGAGTTCACAACAATCTGTGTCTTGACGTCGACCCGACCAAGGCCGACGCGTCGGTGCAGGTGTGGGCCTGCAACGGCGGCGCGAACCAGCAGATCCGCGTGGTTCTCGACTTGCCGCGCCTCGGGCTACAATCGCGACAGACGAATACGGTGCTTGTGGGTACCAACGAGGACCGCGTTGCGTTCCGAAATGTCAAGGGCGCCGCAAGCGCCGCGTGGACGTTGCTTCAGAGCAGAAACATGCTGCTGCACGAGGCGAGCGGCAAGTGTCTCGACGGCTACGAGTTCAAGAACGGCGGCGCCGTGCATCTCTGGCGCTGCGACGAGACCAACGCCAACCAAAAGTGGATCTACGACAGCAACACGCTTCAACTCCGGCATGGCACGCGCCCCGAGTTTTGCCTCGACATGGGTCCGGCAGCAGGCGCGTCCCCCTACCTCTATGCGTGTCATGGCCAGAACGACCCGTACGTTTCGTTCCAGCAGTTTGCGCTCGTGCCCTAGTGACCGAGTCCACGCGTGTTTAGGGCTCCGTCGCAACGGCCAACGAACGGCCAACGAGTGGGCGAGCGTCGTTGACAGCCACCTTTGACTCAAGGACACCTTGTCCCGAATAGATGTCTTTCTACCAGCGGTGTCCTCTTCATGGCGCACGACGTCCTCCTCGCAGCGTTGTATGACCGAATAGCTTGCGTTTCTTAGCGTGTCTTATCGGCAAGAAGAGCCAACAGAGTACAGTACTCGAGTCCAAAATGCATGCATTAACCGTGCCCGACTACATGACGAACGTAAACTGCTGGTACGAGAAGTGCGGGTCGTTCTCGCCATGGCACGTGTAGAGCGTTGGCGAAGCACCGACGCTGACCGAGCCAATGTCGAGGCAAAACTCGCGGTGCGCACCGTGCGTGAGCTGGCGCGACGCCTTGTCGTAAATCCACTTTTGGTTGGCGTTGGTCTCGTCGCAGCGCCAGAGATGCACGGCGCCGCCGTTCTTGAACTCGTAGCCGTCGAGGCACTTGCCGCTCGCCTCGTGCAGCAGCATGTTCTTGCTCTGCAGAAACGTCCACGCGGCGCTGGCGTCGCCCTTGACGTTGGCAAACGAGCCTTGGAGCGGCCGGAAAAGACCTTGTCGTTCTCGCTCACGAGCACGTTGTTGGTCTCGCGCGACGCGACACCGAGGTGCGGCAAGTCGGGGTTGAGACGGATCTGCTGGTTGCTGCCACCCGTGCAGGCCCACACCTGCACGGACGCGTCGGCCTTGGTCGGGTCAGCGTCGAGACACAGATTCTTGTGCGTGAGGTGCACGACGCGGTTCGATTTGATATCGATGGTCCACTTTTGGTTGCCATTCGACGCGTCGCAGGGCCAGACGTGGAGGTTAAACTTGGCGTTGGCAAAGTACGCATCGAGACACTGGCCGCTGGACGTCGAGAAGATCTGGTTCGTGCCAAGGTCGTACGTCCAACGCTCGTTCGCGCACGTCGCCTCGTCGTAGGCGAAGATGTTCTTGTTCATCTCGAAAAGGACCTTGCCATTCGACGTCTGCAGTAGGAACGGCAGCTCGTACTGCGACGTCGGCACGACCACCGGTTGGTTGGGGCTCGGGATGATGGGCCGCACGGGTGCAAAGTCGAACTTCCACTTGCCGCTCTCGTCTGCGAGGCCAAAGTTGGCTTCGTACCCGCCCTTGGCCGGGTTGTTGTGGAACATAAAGTACGCCGGCAGCGACCCGCCGTTCGCGCCTTTGCTCGCCCAGTCCCGGAACGCGTTAAAGTAGTAGACAGCCATCTCGTGCGACGCGACGTGCTGGCCATAGTTGCCGCCCGCAAAGGGCCAGCCCGTCTCGGTGATGACGGCCTTGCTGCCAAACTTGGCGTAAATCGCCTTCCAGCGCACGTCCGTGTCCCGCATCGGGTCTGTGTACGAGTACGACGCGCCCGAGAAGAACGCGTACATGTTGACACCGACGACGTCGCACACGTCGGCGACTTCGGGGTGCGAGAGGAGCGCGCCGTCAATCTGCACCGTCCCGATCGCAATGTGACTCAGGCCCGCGGCGCTGAACTTGGCGCGGACGTCCTTGATCTTGCTAATGAGGTCGCTGACGCTCCAGCCGTTCGAGAGGTCTTCGTTGCCGACAAGGACGGCCTTGACCGTGCCCGGGTGTCGCCGCGCACCGTCGATCGCGGCTTGGACGTCGCGCGCGTAGTCGGCGCCGCGCAGCCAGATGCCTGGGTAGACAAAGAGTTTGTGGCGGGCGGCGGCGTCAATGACGTTGTCGTTGTTGGGCAGCCACGTCTGGAACGACCGGATGGCCGAGAAGCGCGTCGCGATCGTCGTGAAGTGCGCATCGATCTTGTCGGGCTGGTACGTGTCGTAGCAAATGGCCATGCCGAGGTTCGTCGCGCTTGTGCTGACTGTCTTCGCGTCACTCGATGACGACGTCGACGCGGCGACGATGCCAATCACAGCACCGACAAGGACGAGCGCGCCGAGCAGGCCAAGCATGCGCTTGCGGTGCCAGCGGCGCGGGGCCTGCTTCTCGACGCGGAAGTCGTCGACCTCGCTCATGCTCGTCACGAGCTGCGAGTCCATTTTGTGTTGCACTTTGTAAAATGGGGCAGGCGACCGGCAGCGATCCAAAGCCAGCTGTTTCAATGGAACGCGCATCGGCCGCTTGGTCGAGGGGGGCCCACAAATGGCCGCCGGTATTCGCACTTCTTGAAGTAGGTCATGGGCTAGCCAGAAGCTTGCCAGTCGTAATGGAGCATCGACTCTCGACCAGCGAGTGCCAAGAAGGGCGGCGACGTCTTGAAAGATGCACCATGGAGCGAATAGGGTACCCGGCGTATTCTTTTAGTGGGGTCCCGGGCCCAGGTCCGGGGTCGGCCTGATTCGGTGGGGCGACGACGATGGGCATGTTCGATGCATCGATCACCATCGCAGGGACCTATCTCTTGGTTTCCACCCATGTCAAATCGCTGCTCGTCTTATAGGAGGTCGTATTGATGAGTGCACCTGTGGGCTGTGGTTACGCGTGCTTGTCTTGCTTGTCGCGGCGTTCTTCTATCCATGACGATGGAGTGCGCGTGCAGCGATGTTGCGAAGAAGACGCTCGTTGCTTGACCACCTCGCTCGCTTCTAGATTCCGGATTCTGCATTCGATCGCAAGTGTGGGAAGCAGGCCAGTGGAAGCAGACAGGGCGTTTTGAGGCAGCAGGTACTATTACGACGTCACCCAAGCATCCTCTTGTCAATGACGAACGCGTTGGTCATATCATCTCTACTGCTAAAGCGTCCTCGTTTGCATCGACGAGCGCGTCAAGTGAGGTCCATCAATGAGAACGGCGGCCTTGCTGGTTGGCACTCGTCGTACTTTAAAAGTCATCGCTCGTCACGAGTGTAGCTCGGCGATCGCCAGAGGTTTTAACAACGTTAGTGTAGGTGGTGGTATGTACAGTGTACTTGGACGCGACTGTCGCAAGCCGCACGTCGAACGATCTTTGTCGCCATCTTGGTGTACCGGTACCCACAACATGCCGCCGACACCATCAGTCTTTTACCGACCGTGGCGCCTTTAACGATGTCGACTGCACCACCCTCCGACAAGACATTTTCGCCGCAGCAAAATCGGTAGAACCAATTTTACTACACTATTCTAGTCGCTCCACGAGCATGCTTCGGGAGGAGTGCTTGGAGCCGATAAGAAGGGTGTGTTTCACTGTTTTACTTGTGCAGCTGAGTGTGCTGTCGGGGAGCAGCTTACGGAAGACTGGCTACCAGCAACAATGCAAGCCTACAACACCTACAATATAGATTATAGATAGGAGCCTTCCGCCGGCTCATTTACAAGGAGTTTAACTTTGACAGGGCTTGGAGGGACTCGGTCCCAGAAGACTGTGGAATTGGGCGTCCGAGTGCTTGAGCAAACCTTCTGACCATTTAATATGCCTTGATTGTACTATACGATAAAATATATTTATCAATTATTTCATTGGCCAATTTACTACTATTTTCAGCCAATACCAGGTGATGCCACCGCGGCGGCACGCCCGCGAGGCAGCCCGTCGGCCAAATGGCTTGCAAAAATGAAATCGCTCACACTTGGTAGAGCGATAGAGGACATTTTGGAGAGCACAAAACGCGATATCGCGTCGACGTTGGATGCCCACAGCCCGAGTTATGCGTTCTCGAATATTTATTCGTGGCAAACGCCATATCTAATCACCACTTGCCATATTCAACCACATCTTCGCTCGGTGTGAAGTGCGCAGCGCTTCGGACTCGTTACGCAATTATCATACTTGCAAAGGTATTATGTATGTATATAAACACGTTGCTTTTGCGCTGCTAGATCTTCTTATGCACTCGTTTCTTACATGATGACGCACTTGTCCTTCTTCTTGGTCTTGGTCTCGTCGGTGCCGGTCGGCGAGCTCGAGAAACTCGGGCGCGGCTTAGAGATGGAGCTGGCCCGGACCTTGGTCGTCGGCAGTGTAATGTACAAAGGCAGCGTCAGCGGCGCCCGCACGTAGCTCTCAAGGCCTTCGCCATCGTACGACACGAGCGGGTCAATCTCGCAGAGGCCGTCCGCGTTGGTAAACGAGCCACCGGCCGCCACCACCCACGCCTTGCATCGTTCAGAGAGCATGGTCCGTGCCGTGCCGGGCGAGTCGACGGCCGCGCCCGCCGCGTTCTTCACAGGCGCGAATTCTGTCTCGCGCGTTGCGGCCAGGATTTGCATCTTGGTCGCGAGGCCAAACACGTCAAAGATGAACGCTTCGAGCTTGATGCCCGTGTTGGTTGTCGGCTTGTCGACCAAAAGCCCGGTCGTCAAGTCGACGTGCGGGATCTTCTTGTGTGCCACGTGGTACGTATTCAAGTGCTCGCCACTGCAGCAGCGTTGGAGAAACTCCCTACACAAAAGAATGCATGAGGTGCCATATCGGGCTTGGCTAAGGAAGGATACATGGAGTAAAAGTGGTTGCAAATGTTGGCCGCGCCGTAGACAAGCTGGCCACTCGCCGCATCGCGGAGCTCGCTCGTCGCCTTGTCCATCTCGCTGTACTCGACGACGCAGTAGCGGCCGCCGCGCTTGGCAACCACACCGACGCTCTCGTCCGGGCGCGCCTTCCAGACAACCTTGTTGCCACAGTCGGCGCCTTTCGCGATGCAGTAGCCCATGAA